ATGGAAAATCAGGTGATATAAAGTGAGTATTAAATTTTAGTTGGGAATCTTACGCATAAACTTCAATGTGTACTGAAATTGATGGATCTGCGTTATGAGAGTGTCACGTGGTTGTGTTCTTGTGACGGCTGAATCTTCAGGCTAAGTAACAATAGAATAATTCTAGACCTGACTAGTCTGCGGCTTGTAGCTATGTGGTCGTCGCGTGTCTTGTAAACAAAACACCTAACCGACAACCAAGGGACTAAAACTGTGTTGAACTATCACGTTAATGGAAATGTCACTGCTACTCATGAACCACCTAACTAAGTAGGTGGCTTACGGAACCCGAATGTTCATCACCGAACTAACCAAAGATCTCCACCAGACCCTGTCGCTCATAAACCACCACTTACTAGAAATAAAGAGTGTGCAGTCTGCAATGACTACCACCTCTCGTTCATATCGTAGCCCTGTAATTAATTGAGTTAATTACTCTTTTTCGAATTAACAGTGACACGATACGCGACCAACATACTTGCTGGTTCCGACAAAGTTCGAGAAGTGCCTATTATAATGTACTTGTGCCAATAATGATGCTGTTTCAACTGCACATGTCACACAATGTCGAAGATAATTGACTGATGGTTAAAGGGTAGTTTTAGGTTTATTATTTTTACTTCTATTATTTTGTACCTGAGCTCATCTTTCATACTACGTGGGCCTCTTGGAATTATTAACCACAAATTCTCGCTAATACGTTATCCACTGTACAGCAGGATCTGTGATATCCAGAAGATGCTAGCTTCGAGGATCGATCATGACATTGGATACTATAACGTATTTCGAGTTTTCCTTCATCTACACTAATACTGGGCACGGAAATCTTCTTTTGTGATATTTACATGCCGATATTGACATTTGTTTGAAAACTAGCAGTTATGCTATCATCCAATTTTATCAGACCAAAAATACACAACGCCCTTATTAAACATCGATAAAATGTTACTAATAACGTAAATTAAGCCTCAAAGAGGAACGTTGCTATGTTATCAGTTACAAATGAATTACGATGTCTAAAAGTAAAATTTTCTTCGTAAATTCTGTACTCACCATCATATCCATGGCGACCATGTCTTCCTGTTCACTTGTCGTGCTGATGTGCGATCTGGGATCTGGTCAAGTTCCTTATATATCTCGACTCCGGGTGTGGACTTAACATCTTTATGTATGGCGAAAGGAACAATTTTCTGGTTTCATTTCTCTAATATAAAAGAAAAAAATCTACTACAAAGGAGGAGTTTAAGGTGAGTTTTGTAGGAGGGAGGGCAGAACTGTCCATGCGTTGAGGGGAATAGGTTACTCGTGGGAGGGGCTACTCCCAGGTCACCCTTAGGAGATTCAGCGCTGTGTAGTTCGTATCGTTATTCCAGCCTTTCACTGGAGATGCAGAGTGGTCTAGAAGTATGAAAAGAATACGCACTGAAGTTTTTGCTACCAATGCTTGTTCCTACATCCTATTGGATGTATCTGCACACACGACAGCCTCGCAGGCTTTATACAATTTGTTTAACCAAAGAACACATTGTCAACTTAAGAAAATCCCTTGAATTTCTTAGGGTTGTAAACATATTAAAATCAAAGATTTAAAATTATCTGCAGTTTTTGCGATGTTTTGAAGCCTTTTGTCGTCATTAAGTTATGCTCGCCGGATGATAACGCATCGACATAGAAAAAAGGTCATGAAGAAGGCACGAATTCTGTAAGTGTTGGCTGTATTGTTATTCCTATTTATTGGTTACTTAGCAACGTTGTCAAAGTGTAATATATGGCGCCAGTAGGTTGTTCATTGAATAATATTGGAGAAGATGCGAAGGGGTGTGATCGTGCCCTAATCTGAGGTACTGTTCCGACATTTCTCTAGAGAAAAACCACAAAGAACTTTACCCGTGGCAGCCAGAATCCGGGTAGAGATTTAAAACCCAAACCTCCCGAAAACCGGGAAGGAATGTTAAAGACAACCACAACGTTCTTTCTGTTACGTATCATTACAACTCACTACCATTGCTTTGTTCACTTTAGCGTCCAGTAGGTTAAAAGAAACAAGAGGTGTAGTCATCACGATCTATTCAAGCGATCTGGAGAACCTTACGAGAATTTGAAACCTGATGATATGCATTCCTTTCGGTAAGATAAAAAAATGTATGTACATATGGAATTTTGAAACACATAAGAGGAAATTGTTTTCGTGTGATAGGAAATATACAACGACGTATTAAAAAGTAGGAGAGGAAGAGGACATGAAGGGGGGAACAGTGTGACCGAGCATGACGTATCTGAAGAATGTTGTAATAGCCAAGAAACAGCCTTGCCATACCTCAGGCGGCCACACGACTTCAATTTCAGGGTTTTCTGCTTTGAGTTTATGCTTGAAAATTGGTACTGTATGAGATCGGAATATTTTTACGACACTGAAGGTTTAATTTGTGGTCTTTTAGGTTATGTTACCTTGTGGCAATGTAAGTGGCGAGACATATCGCGTTTCGGGCGAATCTGCTGTCTTCATTTTATATCCTGAATCCTGGAAAAGAAGAATAGTTATAATTTAATATGGGGTATTCTTAAAAATGTGATATTAGTGTAATAAAATAAAAAATGATGAGATGAACAAGACATACAGCATATGTTAGTGAAGGGAAAACAGTAGTTGGGTGTTCCACGCGTGGGAGTGAAAAATTGTAACTTGTGCGACAGCCGATAGACGGTGGGCTGACACCGTCAAATGTTTTTCTGAATACTTCTTACCAGGCATACGCATGCGCATCCTTCCTCTCTATTACATCATCCGCTGCCTACTTCTTTCCTGACAGTTCAAAACCACAACTGTGCAGGATTCCTTCGAGAAAATATCATGTGGAAATTTTGTTTGGTTTCGTTTTCTGAGTACTTTCTTGCGCCCGGGGATGTCCTGTGACATTCATCACCCGAAGCGACGTTTACCAGGTAATTTACAAAGACTGTATTCCATCCTCCTGTCTCCTGCCTCTCTCTAAACTTGCACTGCAGGCCCATCGTAACTCGCTTCTCAAACGCTACGCGCAAGTGGCAGCACATTTACGTATGGTAACTGTTTATTCTGTGACTGCCACGGACATAAGTAACTACAAATAAAGAATTGCCATAGAAAACCGCCATGTTCTGTACGACGTCTGATTGCTACCATTTGAACCCGGCCCGAACCCCGACATTGACAATGCTTCGAGACCCAGGCCCAGACAAATGTCTAAAATATGGACCTACAAATTTGCCTGCCGTCTCATTAAGCGCGCTGTGGATAAGTGAACAGTGATGGGAAGGACATTACTTAAAAACAGCAGGTACAGGACAATATTGAAGAAATGGAAAGAACTGGTTTATGAGAGATCAAATGAAGGTTCTGACGGAAAAGAACTGGACACTGCAAAACGAGCATAGATGCTCTATTAGACGCTACTAAGAACATGAAGCAAATGCAATATATGTTTTTGATACCTCACAAAAATAAAAGACAAAAGCATTATATTAAAACTGCTAGTCCGTCAAAAGTTGGTGTCAAAGTCGAAATATTTGAGGACAGAAACAAATTAAAATTACACTAAAAAAATAATTAAAAACATGTTAAATTCGCAGAATATTCCCTACTACTCATTTTGCAATCTTTTGCATAATCTTCTAATATCTGAAATATAAATATTAACTAAATATTGAAATAATAATATTTATTTTTACTTTGTATTTATGACAAACGTTGCGTTTTATCCTGACAGACGATCACAGATTCGTATTTTTTATGCTTCAACAGATATTATTACAAAGTCAGATTAAATATAATTATGTGGACGGTGCATGAACCATGCATGGATAATATAAAAAGAAACTTTCAAAATTGTGTCCAGAAATCCTGAGGGGAAGAGGTCCCTTGGGAATTTAAATATAGCTGATGGGATTAATGTGCGCGGGTGCAGACAAGGTTAATCTGGTTCAGGATAGGGTGAACTGGGTGGACACTCACAAACACGATAAAAATACTTTCATGTTATATGAAAGAAGAAACATTCTGACTAGCTGAACTACTATTAGCTTTGCTAAACGGCGTTATTTAATACTTATGAAATTTTTATTTCATAAACTTATTTTGAAATTTAAACAACATCATGGCGGCTTCGCGAACTGTACATGCCTATTTAGCTTTCTGCTTTGAAAACGGGTGTGGTATGTTCCTCCGAAACGTTGTAAAGCCACAACGCAGAAGACAATTTTTTTTATTTTTACTCCAATAAAAACCTAAGACGTTATGAAAACTAAGGTTTACCGTGAAACGAGCAAGAAGGAGGGTGAATTTTAGTACACAAATTAAATAATGAGAGTATATCCTTAATCAAATGGGACAAAAGATTTTGTGTTTAATAGATTAAAATATCGGAGAATTTGCGTGTAAATTTCGTATGTTGCTACTCTTAAGCTGTTAACTTACCTTGGGATGCTGACTTCTAGTTAACAGCAGCAGAAACACGGAATTTATATCTGACACGCAACGTACCGGTGTTGGGAGTGTCAGGGAACGATTTATCTGAAATAATTAAACGACTATACCAATCTACTTTTCGTTATCGGTCCAATGGCTTCACGCAACTTTCGAACGTAAATAAAATTCCGGATAATTGAAAGAACACAATTGACTGCCGGAAATTTTGCTTCAGCCATAAATTACTTCGCTTTATCTTATTAGCGGTCACGATGTTACACTGGATAAAAAACACAATCGGTTAAAATTATTTAAAGGTAGAATACTTTTATAATTACAGAAATAACTACCTTTGTACCTTTCTTCTTAGAAAATAACAAAGACGAGTTCTTGATTTCCTGTTCTTCTAATTTACATGAAAGCGTAGGATATATAAAGATAAAATGAATGAAAATTTTGTTAATTTTTAGGAGTACGAAATATAACATTCCCGCCCCTTAGGGTATCACTGAGGTAAAATGGTAGTTATTTCTCATGTTGAAGTCAATGGTAGAACAAGAAAGATCTTAGGCTAGACGCGATGGTTTATGATAGCAGGAATTAGTAATAATACTCGTAGAAACTCAGGTAAAATTTGGCTTCGGTGGGCAATAACTTGAGACAAGCGATTTCAGTAACAATCCAGATTTGTTATTTGAAGGTCTCTTGATACTCGCGTTCACTTCGGGTCATAAATACTTGGATGCACACCTGATGATTAATTTTTTTCAAAAGTAGACATGAATCTCATACCACTCTAGCAGCTACTTCTGAAATTTTTTTAAATCGGGAGCAAAAAATGACTGAATTTATTATCTATATGAATATGAAATCCGTCTATTTTTGTTCCCGGTTATTTTTCACGTAATAATTTCTATTCCCTAGGAGGAACATGCCTGTTTAATTACTGGTAGCAGAGTTTAGGGAGTTTAGGAAATATTAATGGACCACAGCATTCAAATACCCTTCTCGTGTTCTTGTTAAGTTTGAAGTCTCTTTCATATGATTGGTGGATTTAAATTTGACTCTCATCTCTCAGAGAATATCTCTGATTGGCTGGCGTCTTAATTTTTAAGTTTTTGTTAGTTGGAGACACCTGGCGCCATGCATTTGTCCCTTAGAACCATTATTTCTCCAACCAAAACGAAACAAAAATTATCACAGGAGGTTGAAACAAATAGCATGCGTGTCGTGGCTTGATTTTATCACGTTTTACCAAAACTCGAAACTGTAACTTGACACTTTCAGTTCTGGGAAACTTCAGTTGCAAGTAAAAACGTTATAAGCCAGTAATAGTTTAATTATAGCTTTTGGAGGTACTAGAAATCCACAACTGTCATACTACCTGAGTTACTTTTTAGATAATTAATAAATAAAACCGAAATGGTGAGAAAATGTAATAATTTTGTAGTGTTAGCTTCGTGAATTATGCGGATTTACATGCCACGCCACGTAGAATGTTTTCTCGTGGGAAATAAATTGGTGATCTCCGTTATTATAATATAATAGAATCATCACTTGCTTTGCCTAGGTTATCTTAGACGGTCAAGTGTAGTTTTGCATTTGGTGACTTAAAAATATATTTTTATGCAAGATACACATAACGAACAAAAACGTATATCGAACAACGTCTTGGAACGGAACTCGTTCGTAAACCGAGAATTGCGTGTAATTGTTCTGAATGCGCATGCCCCAACTGAAAATTAAAGTTACTGTTCTTTTATAAAACGGAAACATGTCACTCTATTTAAAACTATATTCTTACTTTGCACGGAATTAGCAAACCTCTCTCGGTTAATGAAATACACGCCGCAAGTTATTTCATTAAGTACGAGCAAGAAGCCTATAGGAGATGTTACATAAGATGACGTAATGTGTGTGATCCCGTCTTCGGAGCAGTCTCAGGGCTCCAAAGTGAGAAAATTATAGCTGAAGGTAATGCCTACATTTCTCTCGCAGTTTCAGTTTACTTTAATCAAGAGATCTGACAGAAATGCACAGAAAACTGACTTCTCCTTCAGTAATGAGCACTGGTTTACATCGCATTCTGTCACGCATAAATACACTTACGTACTTATTATTGGTGCGTTTAACTATGTTCGCTTTTCAGGTTATGTAACGTGGAATGTTGGCATGGTTACAAAGTAACGAATTGGGACCGATGTGCATGGTAAAGGTCGTGGCATGATTTAAGGCACTATTCCGGCATTTTCGAAAAGAAAGTCGGTATCCTGGCCGAAATATTACCACGAGATTCCACGATTACGAAGCAGAAATGCTAACCATTCGACCGCGTCTTTCTATAACGTACTCTACCACGACTGGAAGAAATATAACTTATATTCATGTGTGGGCCATAATGTTGCTTTGACAATCGTATAGAAATTCACTTAAAAGATTAGGATGTTACGGGAAAGAGACCATGAAAACGGACCTTAGGGAAAAAAGAAGTTGAATTGGTTTGGATGACAGAATTTTGTGTAAATAACAATAGAAGAATTTACCGATGTTATATAAACAACGGTAGTCTAGCGGTTAGAACGCTGGCCTCGTAAACCTGGGGTCTCGGGTTCGATTCCCGGCGGTGTCCGAATTTATAACTTGTGTTGAGCAAGGCCGTGGTCTAGGCAACACGGAGTTTTCCTCCGGGGGCTTCCCCGGTTTCTCCGTGGCATCCCAACAATTACTCCATTCACACACAGAAGAAGGCAATGGCAAACCACTTCTGGATCATCTGCCAAGAACGTATATGAACAGGTCCCAGTCCGAGAAAAGGATGGAAGGATCCTGTTCATATGGACCTGTCGTCAGACAGAACACTAAATAAATAATAAATAAAAGCAAGCGTTTTTAAAGCCTGTGTTGAGAAAATACATTTTTTACGTCGGTTTTTCCGACAGGACACTCAGATACGTTTAAATGTGAAACAAGAAGCCGAAAAACTCGCTCACTAACTCACCCACATACTCCCACAAAACAGAAATATAACCTTTGGCATTTCTTTGCTGTGGTTTGAATATATGAAATAATTATTACATATTTAGGCTTTCTTTGTCAGACAAATTGCTTGAGACTACGAAATACCTGTCAGTAGGTCTACCAAGACTGCCTGTCAAATTGTCAAGATAGCAATTTGCAGGTGATACTCCAACAACAAACTTGGAGCACATCCCACGCAACTGACTAGACGAGTACGAATCCTTCTTAACACAGCAGTACGGTCAGCTCTAAATAAAATTGTTAACATTAATGGAACCCATGGGTTCACAGGAATTCACAACCGGTCCCTATCCCTAGCTACAGAAATGCAATCCACATCCTATCCAATCTCTGTTTTCCCGAGGTACATTATAATATTCTTCCAACTGCGCCTAAGTCTGCTAAGAGACTTTTTACCTCCAGGCTTTATAACCATAATTTTGTACGCATTTCTCATTTCCCCTTTCTTTGAATTGGTCTTCCTGACAATAGCTGGTGAATACCATGGCCCTCCTTACTTTTGCAGTTTTTCCATGCTTGCCATATATATACAAATACTGTCCTAAGCATCTTTAACTCAGTCACTCTCTATCTGTGTTTCTTAAACACGAAAGACTAGGTTTCAGGCCCGTATAATAAAACAAAATATAAAATTATAGTTCTGTATATTATAATATTTATGTTTTTGAGTGTCAGACTGAAGACAAACGATTCTAAACTGCAGGAAGTAAGTATTCCCCAAATTTATTCCGCTAATAATTTTTTTCAAAATGTAATTACGATTTGTTAACGTTGTTTACCACTATCTGAACGTTGCCACTTGCTCTAAGGATTTATTAGCCGCGCTTACACTCGTGTATTTGTCTTGTAGACCTTTGGAGAGTCACAAACATGTATTTCGTTTTCTTTAATTTCACTACTAGACCATCTTCGTATTGGCATCTAATAGAGTTTTTCTGTTTATGTGTATGATATTTGTGCCTTCAGCCAGTAAGTTAATATTAGCCTAAGTGCGATTCAGTTCATTCGTGATAATAAAAGTAATATGACCGTATGAAACGTCAGAAACAAGTCAGCTTCTACACACCGCCTGTACCAATAAACACGTAATCGCTAATAAATAACCACTTCTTAAAATCAATTATTATCG